CCCCGGGGGGCCGCCCGGGCGGGAGGGGTAGCAGCATGGCCCGGCGATGGTGGCGCTTGGCGCGTGCCTTTATGAGTTTCACAAGTCATCGTTCCCCGCGCTCGTTGAGGCCCGTGGGTGGGCGGGCGGTGGCGGGGTCCCTTTCTCACCTCACACCTCACCACGACGACGGTGAGGTGCTCTACCCCTGGTGGGTCCATCAAGATGAAGTGCACCACCGGCGGCACCAGCCCCTGTTAGTGCACGAATAAGTTGTGGAGCGGTGTGAGCTACCCTGGGGCCGGGGGGGACGGTATGGACCACGTCTTAGCTTCTTGCTCTCTTTTTCCTCTTTTTTTTCTGTCGACCCCGAGCAACGAAGCGTCCGCCTATTATCCGCCTTTAGCGACGTGATTGGCGTTTCTAAGAGCGCCCCAACCCCAACCCTAAACCCCAACCCCAACCCCAACCCCCACTGACCCCACCCCTATTGCTGTGAGCCCACACTATTGACCCTGGCAACGCCGCAACGTCGCCGCAGGCGCACACACGACTTTAATAGTTATTTACTGCTCAGCGTAAAATCGCTTTCGAGCATCAATTTACACGTTTGGGGGGGGGGGGGGCAACAACGTAATCAGTCTGCTACTTCCGCTACTCTACTAGCTTTGATAAAAATTAAGACTGCAAATAAATAAGAACACTCATTTCGGAAGGAAAATATGGACAGTTTTCTCAGCACAGTGGTATACGTGGAGGCGACGTTATTCGCAGGTGCGAGGAGGAGTTGAACCTGTGTGGAGATCGGGGGAGGAGGGCGTCAGGAGGGAGCAAGGGAGAGAGGAGCTGATAGGACGGAGGGGGATAGGGTGATGTGATGAGGGGGCGCGACGGAGGGAGAAGGGGAGGAGATTCGTGAGGATCCGTCATTGTTATGTGAAATGCGGCCCGCGGCATATCGACTGGGGGGCGACATGACACCCAAACGTGCCTCTCGCATTCCCCGCGCTCCTCGCTACATGTAGAGCGGCAGGGAGGAGTTGAGAGAGCGAGAGGACGGTGTATGTATTCGGCGTAGAGGAGAAGAGACGGCCGAACCATATCGCCATAATTTGCCGTTTATATAATGTACGAGTGAAGAGGGCGGTGATAGGTCGGTCTGATGATTCGCGGGGATCATTTTAAAAGCCCC